ACCCCCCTGCCTACTTCGTATATAAGCAGCACCTTCCACATCCTATCACCACAGCTACTGCTCTCCGCAGCTATTCAACTGCTCTGAAGATGGAGGCGCTACGTTCCTCCGAAACGTCGGCCAAAACGAAGAATACACGGTGCCTAAACCCAGAAGACAACTTTCTTCATATACCTTCTGTCGTTTAAAAACCACTGTGGGACCTCCTGTGCAACTGCAATTACCTCCAAAGCAACTTTGGCTTTCTCACAGATAATGATGTGGTAGATTCCGGCAGTCGAAGGGTTAAGTAACATGTCCAATATATATTTGAAACCTACATTCACATCCAAACTGGAGTACTTATGCCTTAGTCAAATAAATTAAATTATACGTTAAACTATTAAAATTTCCCAATACCAAAAAACTGCAACAGAAGAGAAAAATATTGATATATTACAGATTTTGTGTGTACGTTCATAAATAATTCCACCCTCTTTAAAAAAAATTAGTATTTGACAAAGGTATTAATTTATATCCCCTTCAAGGATTACCACCTTACCATGGGGTGGAGGCTTGCACTCCTGGTAGAGCCACCCATGCCAGACAAAGCGCAGTCCCTGGTCCTCCAAGCTGGAGGTTGGGAGTGGTGTTAATGACCCACCCTGGAAAAACTTACTGTTATGAACACCCCAGAGAACCAAGGAGGGGGACTATGGAGGAGGCCAAGACCCACACAGGGCTGTAGCACCAGTAAAGATTAATTTATATGAGCAACTAATTCTATTAGAGTCAGACACCATTCCATCATCACCATTAATATCATCCAGAAAAAAGGGATGTTAATTTCCCCAGCACTATGGGGCTGGCAGTCATATTTTAACTCATGGATAATGCTGTCAGTACTGAAAAACTGCAATGCTAGGCCAGCTGAACAGGAATACATGCACCTTTACAATGGTGCAACATACAGCCGGTACAGGTTAATCTGATGCAACCCGTTATAAGTAACATAATCATAATTACACCAAGCCAACAGATATCTTCATGGCAACTCATGTCAATCTCACATGGAATTACCTCTACTATAGTGCCTAATATTTGGACTTAACCAGTGCAAAAAAAAAATGTTCAATGTATCATTCTTCAATTTCCTACCTTCACAGACAGAACTACAACTAATATACTATATCACCCAATAAAATGAATGAAAATAACCTGTGTACAATATAGCTACTTTTAAAATTGGGACTGCAGTACAGCACAAATACTTACAGTACATATGTAAGTAAAAGTGAATACTATGAAAAGTCCTCCTAGGCGCCATGACAAGAATTAGGTAACTTCAAGAATGCGACTTCTGCTACAAATTCTGATCATCACAGAATACAATTTTCTGCTGCTTATGAACAAACAGGACATGTGATACCCATGTTCACTCACACAGCTTACTCTTCTATTTTCAAGAACAAAGTAATCAGCTTCATTTTCTCCCCTCATATTTCTGTCTTTACTTTTACAACTTTTTCCATTGAGGCAATAAGCAATTTTGAGTAATGGGACTGCAACAGCAGGTAACCGGGTCAGTGGTCAAGACCTGAAACACAGAACCAAAGTCTTCACTTAAACATTACAATCACAAAACTACTTGTCTGTACATCTACATTAATCTTTCAGTTTCAACTACACTCAACTCTCGATTATCCGGGGGCGGATAAACCGGTTTGCGGCTTAACTGGGGCTTTTTTGAGGCTTATATGTTGTTTAATATTCATTCACTTTTGTTTCACATGGTGAGTTGTAACACTATTTTTGCATTAGTGTGATCCGAGCTCTGCATTTTTTGGTCCCATTATGCTGCTAACACAAAATTCTAGGGTTGGGGTGAAAGAATGCAAGGATTTGTGGAAAGTTTCAAGGACAGACACTGCCCCAGTTAGTCTCTTTGTATCGATCTTCAAGGGCGTTAGCAAAATATCAGGGTTTAAAAGGAAGAATGTTGTGTTAAGTATTCAATAGAAACTCATATGAGCCGGGCTTCAAAATGTTAAGCAGTGACGAAATCATAAGTTCAGTGGGGGTGCAGTCAGAAGAGCAGGAAGAAAGTGAGAATGAGGAAGAGGTGGACAGTGCTGCTAGTAAGAAAATATCACATGATGCTGCTCTTAATCATTTGGAATGCTTACTAGACTATCTTGAGAGTGAAGAGAACAGTTTATTAAGTGACAAGCTAATATTACGTACGGATATCAGTAAAAAGGAAAATGCCGTGAAAAAGCAAACGACAATATTAAATTTTTTTAAGTGTTAAGTGTTGGATGTTGTTGAACACTGTGATTGAAATAACTAATTCATACTTCGGTGTAATGTAAAAAATGTATTAAATAGGCCATGAGATGACATAAAAATGAGGTTGAATAAATTTAAATACAGGTAGGCCTATAGTATTATGAAGGTACAGTATTACAGTACTACTTTTAATAGAATTTGTCTTAACTGGGTTTTCGATTAATCGCGATTTCCATCCCCACCATGACCTCAGATAATCGAGAGTTAAGTGCATTATTATTTCATTTAGGGGCATGCGGCAACATAGTTGGTTGAGGATCTATGCTACGAGCTGGAAAGTCACAGGTTTCATTCCCAATGAGGTCAATGGATTTTTAAATTGACCTAATCATTCCAGCCGCAGTATGGTCCTGGCGCTGTGGCTCTTCTGGAACCATGGATCTCCAGACTAAACATATTTATGCAACGTTTCATAGGGCTTAAAATAAATGCAAGTCTCTCAAAGCTCTGAGGCATCCTCTTCCAACCACTACACCACCACATGCTACAATTTTCTGCTTAGAATATACTTACAAAATGTACTTCGGAAATGCAAAGAAAAGCACTGTAGCACAGGTCTTCCATCAGGAACACTTCAGTGTAGTCTCTCCATTTTGCAGAGGACCTACTGGTAATTTTGCTATATGAAGAAGACAGGTTAGGGGTTGAACACAAGGCTAATGACCTTGCTCTGCAGAAAGTAGTTTCTTTACAGAACAAGGTCATTGCAAAATCCAAAAAGACAAAAATCAGATGCTCTAGACATATCTGGCAGAATCTTCTAATGAACGCTACGGCTCAAAAAGAGCTGTTTAGCAGATGGTGGCAATGATAATGATGATAGTATGAAGCATGGAGCCTGCCATTACATGCAAAAGGAGGAGGAGGAGGAGGAGGAGGAGGAGGAGAAGGAGGAGGAGAAGAAGAAGAAGAAGAAGAAGAAAGTAAGGAAAAGAAAAATCTATAAACTTCCAAATCTGAACAAAGTCTACTCCTGTGCGGTAGCAATATTATAAAACACTCAAAAAATTACAAATATTTAGAGATGAACATTGATAAAGATGGAAGGTATTATTTATGAATTCATGAAAGAATAAATTTACAATGACATTCAGTCTCAAAAATGATGGGGCATTATGGAATACGAGAGCCAAAAAGAAAACTAAACAAAATATTCATAGGACATCAATTAATATGGTTCAATCCTTGATCAAATCCTTTGCTCACGTAGAAACTGGTCAAGGATCCCTACATCCTGTGTGTCTCTTTACATGTTCATGACAGGCAATGCCTTAACTCAGGCAATCGGTGGCTTCTCATTGCTGAGTCTTGGGTTCAATGCAGGATTCATGACCAACAAAATGGCAATGAAGCAGGGGCTTACTTCATAGTCACCACCATGAAAACCTCAAATCTTACAAGGTTGTTTTTTCTTTTCCAAATTTCTTCAGTTTTCCCCTGCTAAACATCATTCCACTGCCTCTTTATACCCATTAATTAACACCCTCTAAGGTGTGTGTGATAGCCCTGACTTGGTAGCACACTATCATGTCCTACCTTTAAGTTTGGGGCTTCATACCTGACCCAGCAACTGACTGGTTATAGGGTAAAGAAGTACGTTCACACTAATTATAACAATCTTCTTCAAGTCTATGAAATAAATAACTTCTGTGTACAAAGCAGCCATGCTCCATCACGCAGTTAAGTAAATACAGTACTTGTGACAGGATAAGGAAGTAGAAAAGCCACAATAACATCTGGCAACTACTACACAAAAACCAAAAGCCCCATGCCCCACCATGCAGTTAAGTAAATACAGTGACAGGATAAAGAAGTAGAAAAGCCACAATAACATCTGGCAACTATTACACAAAAGCCAAAAGAGTGAGAAAGATGTAAGAGAATAACCAAATGTGCAAAAAGAACCTTGAGGAGCTATAAGTTCACAGTTTGATGGCATGTAATTAAAAGCTTTGCTCATTGTAACATAGTTCAAGATCCAAAATGTTATAACAGATCAAAATGTAGGGGTTGACAAGCCTCATAATATTCTGCTGTGATTAAATGTGCTGCAAGTCTGTTATTTCTGTTTACCTGCAAAGTTGCCAGCAGACAGAAGTGAGGTTCAAAGGACATTCAGTTGTCTTGGGGAGGCTCCATAGCACAAATGACAGCTTTCATGACACTAGCAGCAGCTAGGGCAGCATAAGGTTGCCACTCTGAACGGCGAGAACCATCACCACGATAATCTGCCACACCACGAAGACACAAGAAACTGTCACGACAGTTTCCCAGTACTGAATCAAGGACAGCATCAAATTCCGAGTCAAATGCCAAAGCACCACATTTCGAAGAGAACATCTGTCGCAGTCGATCATCTCTTGATATGGCTCGTCCTGATGCTATGGGTGACAGGTGAAGAACAGGACAACCAGTATCTCTGTTACAGAAACAAAATCAAAACAGGGCTTCAAAAGAGACCAACACAGTACCTGCAACACATACAAATATGCTGTATTGTCAGACTCATTCTTTTCATAATGTTTACCTTTTTTATTAACTCCATTTTTAAGTTTAAAAAATGTCACTGCGGACTGTCACAGAAATTAGTCTTTTGATGGGAATAAGTCATGGTTCCGTACACACCATTGTGACAATACAAGCCCACAAGCTTTTTCAAAGATGGGATTGACCGTCTTATCTCCCAGTGGGATAACTGTATTAACAGTCTTCGAGATTACTTTTGAGGTAAGAAATGTTCTTTAATATGTTTGGCTTCTGACCCGTTTTCATTTGACTGCCCCTCATATAATGAATTTTATACACGCACAAAGACTCTCATGGCTTGACCATGTAGAGCGAATGTCAACCAAGAGATCAGTTAAGAGCCTGTACTAATGGAAACCATTACGTACAAGACCAGTGGGCAGACAAGAAATATGATGGGAGGATGATGCTACAGCTGACAATAAGAAGATGAAGGCACAAAGTGGAAGGTAACAGTCCAGAACAGGACCAAGTGGAAAGGTGTGGTTGAGAAGACCAAAACTTTACGTGAGTTGTAGCACCTGTGTGTTGTGGGGACATCACTGCCTGGAAGGGGTGAGGGATGAGCCACTTCTATCACATCCTGCTGTCCTATAGCCATGTAAAGCTTGTCAGAGTCAGGTGGAGGCTTCGAGAAATCTGTCTCACTAGTGTCTAGTTGTAATGTTTCAACTGCTTCAGCCAGGTACTTCTTCCAGGGGAAGCTGCCTCCTTCTCTTTCTGATTCTGCTTTCAATTTTGAAACGATCGTTTGTAGGCCAAGATTCCGCGGACTGTAATCCTTTGTTTCAAATTCGTAAGTTCCATCTGAATTTGAAATTGCGTTCTCACAGTAAATGTAGACAGAACTGGAATGGAAAAAGTACAGTAAAAATAAGTACAGTATCTTGAACACAGAAGTTCATCATCTTAAAAAGTACAATATAATATCTCAAAGATGAACTGTACATTGTTCAACACCTTGAAAGAAGAAAACAAATATAGTATCTCGAACACAAACTGTACACTAATTAGGACCTTACTTTCACTCAGAACAGAGAGAATATTTTTATTTTCTAACAGCTAGAAGTATAAACCGTCTGGCTAGCAAATATAAAGATTCTGTCATCACTGTCTGATACTCCAATCCTTTCTGGATCTCTGCCCACAAAAGGAACATGGAGAGACATGAACTCCATCCCCACTTCTCCTTAATGTTTGCAGACACATATCTACTGCTATGTCCTTGTTAATTACTGATAAGTTTGCTGTTACCTGTCTGTGCCTCCAGATATAGTCTACATTAGCTGAATGCTGGATGGCGCAAGGAACCTTAGATTAACTTGGACTGTGAATGATGAGGAGGAGGGGACCAAGTATTTCTTAATACATATCAGAGAACAGATTCTGTTTCCCATAGTATGAGATGGCAGTGAGGTAATGCTGAACCTACAGCATAACAGGTGATCTAAACCACAGGATGAGGGGGAACTGATACTCATTGAGCTCCTGAATCTGTGAGCAGAAAAAACCACACACCAAAGCAACATGACTGATCTCACAACCTTCTGAATGAGAGTCCAGTGTCTTATTTCAAGACCAACAAGTCCTGTATTCACCTACCAACATTCAGATCGGTTAATTCAAAATTTAAACATTTCCCACCTTGGAGGTAACTTCATCCAGCCTCTCGCAATTGAAACCCAGACTGATGGCCAAACAAGCCACCTTTCAATGCACGTGCTTCATATTTACTTTCACTAACCATTCTGAATTTACTGACTCATTTTCTGATGAGTGCCTGCTTCATGCCTACTCAATGGCCCCTCATGAAGCATGAAGGATGACTGCAGATGAGAAACTTGTGATCCATGATAAATGTTTCTGGTCTAGTTCTTGTTCAACACTTGGCAAGCAGAATCCATGCACAAACTAACTACCTGAACCTGATGAGTCCTTCTCGAGAAGCCACCAGATTCCCAGCTACTCAAAAATTTCCCAACATTTTATTGAACCCTACAGTTCATTACCATGTCCACAAGAGCACTCCTCTGGTCTCCATCCTAGACCAGATTAATCCTGTCCATACCACCCCATCCTACATCTCTAAGATTCATCTTAATATTAATTATACCACCTATGTCTAGAGCTTCCTAGTGGTCTCTTTCCTTCTGGCTTTCCCAACAAAATCCTATATGCTTCCTCTTCTCTCTCATTTGTGCTACATACCCTGCCCATCTCATCCTCCTTCACTTGAACACTCTAATTATACTTGGCAAGGAGTACAAGTTATGAAACTCTCCAAACAGTTTTCTCCAGCCTCCTATTATTATGTCTCTCTTTGGTCCAAATATTCCCCTCAGCACCCTGTTCTCAAACACCCTCGGTCTACATCCTTCCACCTTGAACACAACCATGTCACTAGCAGGAAATGGAATCCTGCCCTATGACCAAACACATTTCAAAGTGGATGTCTTCACTCCTGCAGGTAGGGACAAGGAGGGACATGAAGTGAAGGCATACTAGTTACTTCAGGATAAGCATTTTACCTGTTAGGGCTGTTAGGATGTGATGCTACTACATCACCAAGACGAACATGCTTACTGTAGTCAGTGTAATGGGGGACACCACCACCAACTCCAACCAGGAACACATAGTCCACCTTTTGGAATGTTCCTGAAACAAAGTACTTATTTTTAGAGTTCTTACAAGTGTACCATACTGCTTAATGCTGATGACTAACAAATGACAACCTAAATTCTGTTCTGATGATGATGATGATGATGATGAGTACTGTCTTCTGAGATATAACGCCATGTAGTCCGCTGAAAGTAAACCAAAGTTTTGGAGGAACATACCTATCGCCTCCATCTTCAATGCAGAATAAGCATGAGAGCACGTGGGAAGTTGAATAACTGTCTGTCTGGAAAGGGCTGTTTTTGCTGGTCTAAGAATATAGGAAAACATCCGTTTCCATGGCATCATAAACTCCTGCTGTCGCCTATTGGTTTGCTTGGAGGTAATGTGAGGGCCCAGCAGTTCCATTCTGTCCAATGGCAAGACAGTGTGAACTGAGGCCCACTCTTCTATTTCCCACCTCTTACGACTGGCAGGGCTATGGTGGAGGTATTCAACCCTGGCTCCACAAGGGTCCTCAAATACTGACTGACTGTTAAATTGCCGCTGGTCCTCCGCAGCACAAATTTTTCTTGGTTCCAAGTCCCACAGGATTCGTGACCATATTTTACTGTCTGACAACTCTAGGAGCCTTCAGATCACTCTCTGTCCCCTCCAATACTGAGTCTGAGTCTCTGAGTCTCATTTTATGACCGACGGTCAGTTGGCCAGTCTGTCTTGGCATAAAGCACCCATCGGGGGTTGCGACCAGATCTTTATTACTGTTTGACAGTTACGGTCTTGATTTTTGTGGGCGCCCTCTCTGACGAGAGGACGGGTCTGTCTTTTGTATATGCTGCTAGAGTTTGCCAGCACAGTCCTTCTCCGGTCCGAGTCCCTTTGTACTCGAGACCATCTATTACCATCTCAGATTTGAGACTTCCCTTTTCATCGCCTCAAACACTGATAAACGTGCTGTCTTTTATAAATCCCTGAGAACCTGATAGAGATCACCCCCTCCAAGGGCTCCATTACTGTGTTTCATGAATGGTGTCAGAAATCGTGTATCCATTGCCAAGCAATAGCCTGGTTCTCTCAGTGTTTACAATTTTACATGTCCATATCCATAGAAACCATGTTTTGAAATTAGATGGTTTCGAGGAATCAATCTCTCCATGCAAACAAGTCTGCCCATTCGTCACAATAACTTAGGAGGGTTCATTAAGGTCTTCGCACAGACCTCTGCCCTTCTGGTTGGCTATGGAGAACATGGACTGGGGTCCTTCATTGGAGCATTAAAATGCAGCAAAATGGTGACAGCATGAACCTATGAAGTTATGCTGAATTTGAGGATCTCACAGTGGTGACTATCAAGAGTTCTATTTTCTTGGCTCCAACGTCATCAAGTCCAGCAGCAGAAGTCTACTGACATTTTGGAAGACTGTACTGTCTCCATCTTCTGGGCTAAATAGCAAGCCATAATTCCTGCTTCTTTCTGGTATCTTGATTAGATTACTCCGACCCTGAAGATACAGAGTCCCCCCAACACTGGTAGACTTCTACCAGACTACACAGCATTACATCTCAAAAGAGAGTACGCTACCTATGAAGTTATGTTTGACATATTAGGTACTGGCATACTATCAGAACCTGGTAGATTGGCAAGATATTATATATACATGATGAAGTCATAAAACTACTATTTCTTGATAGTTAACACTAAGAACAAAAAAAGAAACACTCACAGTGGTAAAGTATCAGTGCACAGTTCATCATATGGGACACGATAACTGAGATTAACAGCTGGGCATATTGTTACATAACCATAAGCTGTGGAATGGCACATAACTGGATATACTGAAACATTACAGCATCATCCCAAAATGGAGACAAGCTTCATGGAGCCCCACAACATTATGACGTGATTATGCGTGAACTAAATGAGCACTCCAGGTGTTGGAGAGATCAAACGCCTTGATCTTCAGAACTTACTCTGCAAGACTTTCAAATTCTGGGGCTACATAAAACAAGTGGTCCACATAGCAAAAATCATTATAATGAGAACTGGACTACCAGTCAGAAGTGTGCAGAACAAAAAAACACAAGGCTCCCACTGACTAGCTCCATATCTTCATGGCTGATCGATGGCCCATCAAGTGTCCAGACTATACAGCATCAAATGGTAGGATAATGAATTGCAAAGGATGTGGATGGAAGTGCTAATGGCCAGTAACCTACTTACAGGGGATTCAGGAAAACCCTGACAATCCTCAGTCAGGATACACAGTCTCCAGGCTGAAACTTGAACCAAGGACTTTTAGAAAGCAAGCCCAGAGCATTATTGCTAAATCAGACTACTCTATATCTTTCCATGGCCTCAGTGTAGTTACACAGACAAACTACAACTGTTTGTCTTCCATACTCCTAGACTATACGACCAGCTGTGCAGGCAAGAACGAAGGCATTCCGAAGACAGTCATCATTCAAAGCAGTTGAAATAGAAGGGAGAACCAAGAATTCATTCATCGATTCATAAGAGAATTCAAAAGGCAGTTCAGTAGTTGAGTGCTTAGTTGTGAAGTGTTAACCAGCTAAGATTCATTAGCAGGAAACACCTAGTGAACAAAGACACAGGAGACTTTATTTTGTATGTGCTGTAGCTACAGTAATCTTTAGAGTGTGTAAACCAGTGAGACTGTTATAGTTATTTATAGTTACTACCTGTGAGTGTTCAATAATTCTATTCAATCCAAACCCCATCTATAGTCAGTAATACAAGTGACAATATTACTAACAAAGACATGCTTCACCAATCAGCCTGGGCATATGCCACATGACTGCTAACAATTAAAACCACAGCACATACTATTATGCTTACACAGTGAACTAAAGGGTCACTTTTCAAAGATTCACTACTGGGTCTGTTAGTGCTGTTGGCACAAGGCTCACTATGAACTCGTCAGAGCTGCCTATGGATGACTTACCAAGAAGCCTTGTAGTGGTGTTTCCTGCAGATGTCATGGCCTCCCTTGTGTGACCCACACTTGGCAGTTTGGTGCACACAATACGGTGGGCTCCTATATTACCCAGTGTGTACACATTTGATTCACCTTCAAAGCAGAAAATAAACCATCAAATAACAAAAGGTATAAAGTTGAATGTGAGGTTCTCACCATGAAGATTATGAAGAGCACTGTCATCTTGGATGTGATACTGTGTAGTCTGGTATAAGTTTACTGACTTTTTGGAGGAACGTACTGCTTCCAAATTCAGTGTCTACTTCTTGCTGGTTTCCCACTCTGCTGCCTCTCTTGGATCATGAAGATGAAGAGAGTACATTCCCATGAAACATCATAAACTTCTGCATATAAGATTACATGGTATCACATCTCAAGAAACAGCACTCTTCAGGAGTTATTTAGTCTACCTTATTTATTCAGTACTGACCCAATTCTTTTCTAAAATCTTCATGACCTTAGTCACTAATGATGCAATTGTCTGCCTTCCTATATGAAGAATCATGATCACTACCATCAAGTTTCCAAATCTGTACTTTTACCATGCCTGAAGATCATCACTGTATGAATAGTTACTTCTCATTTAAAATTTAGTTCTGTAACAGAACAGCGAAAGTTCCACCTTCAACAACAAACCAAATAAGCTGAACATCCTCAATTTTAAATATAAAGCAAGACCATAGATTTCTATTTTTTACATACAATAAGAAATAATCTGAAAATATACCGGGAACAAATTATCTCTGTAGTTACCAATCCCAAAATGGAAGATATCTAAATGAAAAACAAATTTTAACAGCTTCTTACAAACATAATGTACAGGAGTACAACCTTAATATAAACCATCAATTATATTGACATAGCAGAACTGCTCAAGCCTTGTAACTGGGAGGTAGCTCATTCGAATATTGACCAATTCACCCACTATTAATACTGAGGTTTCCACGATTTTCCTCAGAAAAAAAATGTAAATTACATCCATAATATTGACAATCACAGTTATTCTATATAGTTTTCCTACTGATAAGAATAGCTAAATTAATGGCAACCATAGTTACGAATAATATTAACAAACTTCTAGATAAAGGAGCCAGTTCATCCAATACCCAACTGACTATGAAACAACACAAATGTGTCAACTCTGATCAGATAACAAGATATTGACAAAACATAACATATATATACATACAAAACAATACATCAGACTCCCAAAAACATAAACATCCAATATTTACAAATTTTGAGTAACCTTCTAAAACAAGTGTAATCCTATACCAGATCTTACAGAGTGACACGCAAATTCAGAAGCCACTATCATACCTAATGCAGTAACACACACAAGGTCTTCAGGAATGTTTAAATTACTTAATCTGATAGCCTTAAGATGTCACAGTTCAGCGAGTAGCAATCCTGGTTCATATTCAGAATGTTCCAGGTTCAAATATCAGTCCACATATCATCTACCATGACTAAAATTTCTGTGGTTATACAGAGTATTCCAGGACAGGTCAATATTCTGCGAGGTCACAGTATCTGTCATTCAAAGCAGTATGTAAATGAGTCCTATTCCAAACGGTTTCTGAGGTAGAGTTGTTTCCCTGTAAAGTTCCAAATTTGTTCATAAGAATGAGATATTATGTACCGTTTCTAATACCGGTATTTATAGTTCAAGTGACAAAAATTATACAGTTTACCTTGTATAACACATTTTCAAAAATTCCACTGTCAGCATCAATGCATCTTGCAACTCGTGTAAGGACATGGCATGTTGCTTCTCTGTACAGTGAAACAGCTCTCTCTCGGAAACCGTTCGGAATAGGACACATGTACATGTACACTTTTTTGCCTAGAATGACCGATACTATGACCTCCCAGGATACTGAGCTTTCCTCCTGCGACACCCTGTATAATGTGATCCACTGACAGCAAATATAATAAGCTGAACTGCAAGACTCTTTTTCTTATTTCACAACACTGTCAGTGCTTAGAATACACAGCATCACACAACTGGATCACTTATGAATCACAAAGGACCTGGCCTGGATGCAAGTGGTTGTTGTTCTATCATATTATCCTGGCATTTGCCTGGAGGAACTGAGGAAAAACTTCAGTCCTGGCTAATTCATGAGCTGCCCACTTTCTGAATATAAGTCCAAACATCTGCCTAGCGTCAATGAGTATTACAGCAAAAAACCAATAATTATTAATTTTAATTAGAAGTGCTGGGTGATTATCACATACACATAGTCTCACATGTTCTGCACAGACAAAATATTAGTTAGGAAAGTTGACACCTGGGTTACAGGACTGTTAACAAGGAGACCTCAAACATGGAATTATATTTTGCTCCTGCAACAGCATTTGCATTAAGATTTCCCTGGAACAAACAGGAGAACTGGGTGATCAAAACTATGTGCAACTTCAGTGTTAGGGGAAGAAACAACACATCAGCTTCCAACAGATGATAAAAGCAGCTCACAGTAAGTACCCAGCTGACAATTACAGACAGAAAAAATTCACTAACATGTCAGCAGCTGAGAGTATGTACATCATTCATCACACACACAAAGACATCAGATTACCTGCAAACCAAACATACAGGCCATGTTAGACTTTCACAAGTCAACATATATCCATGCTTTGAACTAATCCAAACTAAACCACATAGTTCTGTCAAACCTGAACCTAAACCTAACATTTTGAACCAATCCGAACTGAACCACATAATTTTGCCATATATGAACCTAACATATGCCCAGGTTTTGAACCAATCTGAACTGAACCACACAGTTTTGCCAAACCTGAACCTAATATATATATGTATATCCACATTTTGAACCAGTCTGAACTGAACCACATAGTTTTGCCAAATCTGAACCCAACATATATCCAGGTTTTGAACCAATTCAAACTGAACCACATAGTTTGGCCAAAGCTGAACCTACGAGTAATATATATTCAGGTTATGAACCAATCTGACCTGAAACACAGTTTTGCAAAAGCTAAACCTAACATATATCCAGGTTATGAACCAATCCGACCTGAACCACACAGTTTTACCAAACCTAACATATAACCAGGTTCTGAACCAATCTGAACTGAACCACACAGTTTTGCCAAACTGGAATCAGAATCAAATCTATTACATGGACAGTGTTTTAATCATGAATCAGAACCAGTGATTTCTTAAGAACTGGTATGAACTGGTTCACAATTGCTCCAAAGCATAACTTTAGGTAATTTGATGTACTTCTTTTAAATTAAAATAATTAAATGAATTTTTTATTGCAACACCCTGGACATAAACTATGGCAAGACCCAATTCCTTTCCAGACCTCTTTCAGATTATGGTATTCAAAAAATAATGCAAAACAATGCAATGTGTGAAATGCACTCCCTCGCCAGCACTGCTGCACAATGTCATGAATGCTGTTGTATGTACCAATTGCCCTGCCAATGAGTGAGATATATCTTCTATCAGCAAGGCTTTGTACATGGTATTGATATTTTCACGTGTCGGGGGGCGGGGGTTGCACATGATGAAAATAATGGGTTCTAATTAGGACATTAGCACTTCAGTTAAACTCTCTCTCTCTTACTTACAATTAAAAGAGCGCTATCACTGATTTACACAATTTACAGCTCACCACTACACACGCACTAGGATCCTCTGTCTTCACTAGTCGTCTCCTCATGACAGATCTCAACACAGAAACTAGTGCTTCAAATCATTATGGAGTCTTCTTGCTATTTCATCTTCAATTACTCTGTATTCCTCTGTCCTAATCTGTACCCAACTAATCTAGTCTACATACTGTGCAGTCATGGTGATCTTGCACAGACAGTCAGATGACATCACCACAACTCACAAAACACTTCTATTTACTGTATGTACAAGAGTTTCTTGCCTTTGGGTTTCAAGGCAGAAGTTGAATGTGTAACATCATCAATCAGGCATAAGCCATGCTGGATGTTTCCAAACTTACCACCTAATCACCTTCATCACACAACCAGTGACCTCAACCCATACAGACCTATACTGGGGGCTTTGAACTCATCTCCTTTCATATCCACATCTCATATAAATATACTTTTCATCATCTCTTCTTGTGTGGTCACTAGAAGTTTATTTAGCTCAGCTGTCCCTATTAATGTGGTTACTGAACCCTTTCTGAGACCTCTGCTCTTTGCCATATGGTTGCTAGGAAACTGTTCAATTACCTCCTGTTGCATTTGGTTATCTAACAGCTGCATAATGTGCTCCCAACTCAGGAGTCAAGCATCCTACTATTATACAAAAATATTATGATAGACATATAAAGAGAAGACTTCTGATGAGGAAATGTGCATGAAATCTTGTCACCACAAAAAAATCACTGAGCTCTGACACACTTTTCTACTCCACATACCAAAAGCAGAATGCACTCGCTTTCCTAAAGAATGGAATATTACACTTAATATTATTAGGTTTCTGGATTTATCCATTATATGGTATTTCTAACAGAATACAATGTTTCAAAAACAGATCTGCTTCCATCCTCAGGTAGAAAAAGTGATCCAGTAACCAAGACTAGTTCCTTCTATTGGAGCCAATTGAGCCTGTGTGTACCAAACTTCTAAACTGAGGATGTAACAGGTATGTTGAAACATGCTCTGCTCAGAACACCAAGTGATGGACAAAATCCAGAAAAAAACAGTAATCACAAACATTCACTTTTCCTCAAGAAAAGTTCAGATACCGGCAGACATGAAGCTCTCATTTCGTTATATTAACACCTGCCCCACATGTTAACCTGCAAAGCTGAAAGCAGTGCTGGAGTGCTGAGTGCTGGAACTTGCTGGAGTCTATGCTGGAGCACTTTCTACATTTCAAAATGTGCAGCTGCTTCATGAAGAGTGTCTAACACTTAAATAATTTCAACCTTCTGATCAAAGTCAACTCTGAATACTATCCATTCTAAAATAGAATGAGCATTAACCAGATTGGAAATGAGAAACCAATGACTGCATAAGCTCATGTCATTCTACATACATAAACAAGTAATGTAACAATGACATGAAACTTCTGAATTTACGTAATTTCAGGTCACCATTAACTTTAGGAATGAACATAAGTTAAGTAGTAGGTCACAAATGAGTAAGTACTCTTTTATTTCATGTACTTTGTCTGCTCTGTGGGTACTGACATTACATTCCTGTGGATACTGAGAGAGCTCATCATCAGAGAAAACTACACTGCAGTTTAAGAATAGCTGGTAACTAACCAGCTGCAGCAGAGTCCTTCCTGAGAACATAATGGTTACTCAGCTTGCCAAGAAATTTTATGAAACTCAAATGTTATTTTTGTGGTCATAAGGGCCTGCCACAGGTCCCTATCCTGAGCCAGATGAATCCAGTCCACATCTAACCATCCTATAGCTTTGAGAGCCATTGTAATATCATCCTCCCATGCATGCCTAGGCCTTCCTTGTGGTCTCTTTCCTTCAAGTTTTCCTACCAAAACTTTGCACACATTCTACTTCTCTGCCATGCATGCTACACTCCCTCCCCATTTCACCCTCCTTAATTACATCATCCTTATATTTCTTGAGGAGTACAGATTATAAAGCTTCTCACTGTGTAATTCTCTCCACCCTCCCATTATTGCCTCTCTTTTCAGCGGAAATATTCTTCTCTTCTCCTTCAGTGGGCATTTCTAAAGACTAACAAGGGAATGGTCTGATCTGACATATCAAAATCTGCCCTCATTTTTTTCTTCACTGCAAGAGTACACACAACAAAATCCACTGTCAAAATTTTAGCTGCTAATACGCACTGCAAATATTTTTTAAAAATTTCTGAACATGGCCAATATTGTAACCTGCCAGACCCTTGGAGAAATGTTGAGCCAGAGCAGAGCAGTATGCAACATGCAACATGGCTGACTCACAGCCTAGGCTGGGGTTGTACAAACCTCTTGTACAAGCGGTCCGCATACAGAAAAAATGAGTAATTTCGGCAATTTCCACTTTAATATTATTCATCTCCCACCTACACCTGGCTTTCCGAGTGGTTTTATGTTTTTCTACCATAATCCTGTAAACTTTCCTCTTTATGAATAATTACAAAGGCAGCTTCTTGTAAAATACTGGTTACAAAAATTACTTCTTTCTAAATTCCAATGATTACTGCATGTGCGGCTATTAATTACACTGTCACAATGAGGTGATGGGAAGCAGTGCGTGATACCCCAACCAAAACAACACAAACAATAACAAAATAATGAGAAGCAGAAGCATGATGCAGCAGCAGCAGCAGCATCTTACCAAATCTGACATGATGTCTGCGTTGAGGACAATCCGGCTGCTGATGAGGTGATGCACCTAAGTTCAGAAAACATTCTGACAAATATACTCACAACTCAGCATTCCTAACCATGGTGACAAATATGCCTACATGTTGGCACAAAAATAAACTTATGTGATATTCCTCCAATCCAGTGTTTCCCTTGCATCATCATTCTATGGATACCTTCCTTGAAAATCATATCAAACAAATCCTAACTTTAAATTTTAGATTCGTTTTAGGGATGTGTAAGAATGACTTCTTCAGTTCAAGGTGAGAATTTGAAAATTACAATATAAAATGAGAACAAAAATGAAGAGCCTGGTCTTCTGGGTTGCAATGCCACTGAGTTGAGAGTCAGCCTGATGTTATGGAGGAACGCACTGCCTCCACCTACAGGTTCTTCTAAAACGTCTGACTCTCTCCAAATTCATGGTGTGTGTTAATACTTACTTCAAGCTCTACCACAGAGAACTACATTTCTGTAGACCATCTGACATCACATCATACAATGTGGAACACACAGACATAAGTAATATTACCAATGTCATTGCACTAATATATTTTTCAGTAAGGATATGCTGACAAAGGAACATGGGTAAATGGGTGTGGAATATATGAAGGGAATGATGAGATAAACAAAGGCATTTTCTGAAGTGTCTTTACATATCTGCATCTCATTTTGACAATTCATAAAACAAAAAAAAAAAAAAGAATCACTGCTAAGAGAGAACTATAAACATGTTGAGACTTTCACAACTGTCAGAGGTATTGTAATTACACAAAAAGGCCGCACCATAGCTCAAGCAGTTAGTCGCTGGCTTCCCACTGTGGCAGCCAAGGTTCAACCAGGTCTGTTTAAGTGGGATTTGTGGTGGACAAAGTGGCGCTGGGGCAGGTTTTCTCCGAGTACTTCCGTTTCCCCTGCCAATCTACATTCCACCAATTGCTCCACAATCACCCTCACCTATCATCTGGGGTTGGTACAATAGGCCAGAAGTGGCCGCAGTACAAGGGACTTAATCCCACCCCACTAGCAATAAAAAAAATAATAAAACAAAAACATCCCTTACAATTGAATTACAAATAAATGTGTGCTGATCTCTGGAACCTGAAGAAACAACTTTCTCTCTCACACACACACACACACACACACACACGCACGCACACTTACACACTGTGGACTAGAATTCTGTTCTTGGGAATGTATTAAACAAAATTTAATAACATAATGGCTCAGCATACTCCTGACAGGGCAATTACATATTCAATAGGAGACAGTTTTCTCTTCGGTTAATGAACACTGAATGCTTACCAACAGTTGTGTAGCGAACAAATGTTTCTTTGTTCCTTAGCATGGAATCGACTGCTAGCTTCTCGCAGTACTGTGCTGTGATGACAGCTATGGTTGGCTGTTTCGAGCTTGCCATGGTTGGCATCTGTCGCACCACCTGATGCAAATTAACCACAATTTATTGAACGATGATCTCAACAGGATACTATATTAAAAACACACAACACAGAGCTTTGATTAATATGACATGTAACAGTACATTTGAAATACAGGGACAATGTCTTCACAGTAACAATCCTGTAATTCTGGGAGCAATAAAACCTGAACACTTCCAAGCCCACTAATTATCTATGTTTCATGTTGCACACCTGAGCTACATATATACAGGGTGTCCTAGGAGGAATGGACCAAACTTCGGGAGGGTGTTCCTTATGTTAAAGTATGCCGATATAACCCAAAACACCTATGTCCAAAGTTGAACGGTTACGGAGATAATGGCCAGAGAAGTGTCAAACTTTGACCGGCGTTGCACACTTGTTGATTACAAAATACATATTAAAACTGGCAGGAATATGTGGATTCTGTAATGTTAATAATGTACGTAACATCAAACTAACTTGTGAGTGACAAGAAGCCATAAAATTGAAGTACAAAATACTCGCTCGCCATGTCATAATTGTCCTTAGGGTTTCCAAGCACTAAACATGACACATGAATGGCAAGCGCTGACGTAACGTGCTGACTGCGCGTTCTCGTATAAGCCAACTACATAAGCATGGCTAGGGTGAATCATCGCACTCAAGGACAAACACAGATAAAGCCTCTCAGCTGACAGGTACAGTGCGTGGACCCGCCAGAAGACCACACTTTTCTTGGGCCATTATCTCCGTAACTGTTCAACTTTGGACATAGGTGTTTTGGGTTATATCAGCATACTTTAACATAAGGAACACCCTCCCAAAGTTTGGTCCATTCCTCCTGGGACACCCTGTATATAGTATAGTTGAGTACACACATTAAAATACATATGGCATTTAGGAAGGCTGACGAGTCACTTGACAGTTTCTTCAAGCCTTCATTATTACATTCAAAAACAAGTACAACTTCTAAGTTGGTGAATACTACACCAACATCTGCCTGGAGGAACTGTAAAAAACCACATAGAAGTAGGATCAGGATAGCCAGTGTATGGGGTGAGATTTGCACCTATCACCTCCTCAACATGAACTAGGAATGCTACCCATTACAATGTTTGGTGTGCTTTATTCATCAGTTTACTTTAAATTCTGAAGTTGCTTTCAGGCAGCCACTGGTTAAAGGGACACCCATACCACTAAAAACAGAAAGCATACCTGTACATGAGAGTCAGCCTGTCCTGCGCGGGTGAATGCCCCATGCTCCAGAGGCTGAACCAGCCCCTTTTCTTGAAGAGTGGTTAGTGTCTCACTGACTGCATCTGCATTCCAGCCATGCTGCATTGCCAGTTCCTCAACAGTTACAGGGTTTGGGTATGCTGATTCGATCAACTCCAGCAACTTTGCTTCAGTCAGCTCCACAATCAGGCCCAAAGCAGTCTCATCTGCTGACACTGTCGGTAAGTGCAACAGAAACATGAGACAGACTCTCACCACTACATATTACTCCTTATTAATGTTATATTTTAGCGTCCTGTTGCAATGATTTATGTCCATGATTTATTCTGACCGTCTTACAGTGCATACATTTATTCACCTTACTCTTCTCTCTTGCACTACATGTTTCGGCACTTCAGGTGCTTTTCGATGTACGTCGAACTACTGCATTGCATGCCCTGTTGTCTTTATACTAAAATAACTAAAATATATATTTGTCATATATATTGCTAAATTTTAAATATTAAAAATGTTAAAACTGTTCAGGATTTGTTATCCTTATGTCATATTTCAGTACGCGATTCACACCTATCTTCTTCTGTCGGAGTATTCTTCCTACTTTCATGTGTATTGTGCTTTGTGTTGTGTCTTACTCCTGTGACTGCATATGTTATACTTATTCCTTATTCCTTCATCTGTTCTGAGCTACCAGGAAGTTAGGGAGTGATCAAACTTATAAAATGTTTATGGATGTTCACATGGTGGTCTTCTGTGGTATGATGCCATGTAATCTTGTAAGTGGATACCAACATTTCAGAGGAACATACTGTCTCCATGTTCAGGGCTCAAGCATGTAGGGTGAAGAAATGGAACTTGGTGCAAACGAGTAGGAGAGATAGGTAGGAAGACGAATTTTTCCACGGGTATAATATTACCTTAAGATGTTAGGTCGCAAATTTGATTCCCAATGAGGTCACTGGATTTTTCAATTGACCTAATCCTTCTGGGTGCAATATGGCCCCGTAGTCGACTCAGCCTCTAATAGAAACGAGTACCAGGAATCTTCCTGGTGGGTAAAGGGCAGCCAGGTTAATAACCTCAATGCCATCTGTGAGCCAATTGTCTAGAAAAGTGGGAGCCTTGACATCTCACAACCCTATGAGTCTCCATGGCTTCTTAACAGGGACAGATTTACCTTTACCTTTGTCACAGAAGAGGAAAACAGAACTAAAAAAGGATAGTGCCACTTTTAGGGCCCAAATATGCTTTTCATCATAGGAGGAAAAATGGAACATTCCAAGCTCAGAAGGGATGGCCCTTGACAGAGACGTTGGGGGCAGGAAGCAAGAAATAAGCCTTTCCCTCCACAGATATCAGGCAGAGGATTTCATCTCAGGAGGAAGTAACATTCTTGAAGAGTTATTCGTTCCAAAATACGACATGCAGTCTGATGAAAGTCATCCAACAGTCCAGAGGAACATATCACCTCCATCTTTGGAGTCAAAGGGTAAGCCCAGCAAGAAACCAGCATAAAGCAGGGAGCAAGCAAATCTTAGCCTATTCTTCAACCCTGATGATGGAGGTGATACATTCCTCCTCCTCCAAATTATCAGTTGACTTTCACCGGAGTATATGGCATTACATTCCAAAAGAGCAAACTATCACAGTCACGGCTGTGAGAACCTCAAATCCAACAAAGTAATTAACTTGCCCTCGGAGATAGAATTAATTTTAACAATTCTGAGATTATAAATTCTCACCACAATGAATGAATGAAATAACAGACATTACATTGATGCAGTAATAAGAACAATTAAAGTGAAACAGACTGCTAGAATTTCAATTCTAAAGGCCTCTAACAATGGTGTATTACACATAATACTAATAGCTTCCTGCACTCTGTCCATTGTCTGAAATACTCAAAAACATGAACACAGTGTTTCTATAACTGGATCAGCTTCCATCCTCAGGTGGAGGGTACATATTCAGTTAGCAGTTAATTCCTCTCTGTACTGCTGGCCCCAATGACTGGGATCAGTCATTTATAATGGACCCTCCTGAGTAGGTACTCCCCACGTATGGACAGAAGCAGATCCAGCTCACAAAACACTGTGCTCGTTTCTAGAATACTGTGGCATATAGACCCACTGCTAAGCAGTGACTCTGTAAACAGTGGCCATTGCTAGGCAATGCCAGCAACATACACATAAGCAACAACAGAAGAACGGCATTTTCTATGTGGCCCGCACTGTCACCATTACTATGCAACGGTGTGGTAAACACACACCTACAACAATAAAGGGGCTGTGTTTTCTGTATAGTCCATGCTGAAGAGTTATCTTGAAGACAACTGGGATTGTTCAGTCAGTCCAGTGAAGTTCTGTACTGGAGGCTGCGAAGAAAAGAATTAGTTGAAAGTCACCTTGTGAAGAGAAGACTAGGAAGTTGGTGTGAAATGGCCACCAGCCTGTAAGTTGTTAGCTGAGAGTGAGTTCTGTACAGGAGACTTTGAAGATAGGATCTGGGCACATGAAGCTGAAGAATCTCCACTGTTAGAACCCACTGCCAGGAAACCGCTGATGGAGACACAGCAGGTTGGAAAAAGGCCTGCAGGTGCTGTTGCAATTTGTAAAGTGTTGAGATTAGCAACAGCACTATAATACAGTGTAATTACAAGTCATGTATTAACATGGTCAATAAATCCAATATTCAATCCAAAACCCCATCTAAAGCCACCCCTAAATTGTGAAAATATCAAATGACAGACAAGTCCAAGGAATTACCAATACTAACCTGAAAGATACAGGGCTGACTACAGATATTATGTGGTATTTGTTGACCTTACCCACTTGACTGAACCATCTACTTCTCCTTCATTTCTTAATTCATACCTCAAATCAATGACAATGTTCACCATTTCAGTCTCCCTAATTGCCAGCCCTCTGCTCTGTGCAACCCATGAGAGTTCTGCTCTACCAGTTGATACAAAGGTTGCAAAAGGTGAATTTAGATGTGCAGTAACAGAGAGCAAGGTCATCCATCTGGTGGCATGTGGGCTGCAGCTAATCCTGTGAAGCCCAAGAAAGTATACTTGTGCTCCCAGAATACTTGTTAACACTATGCTCTGTTTTAAAAAAGGTAACAAGTACGGTTACACTTCTTCTTCATAAGGCTCAACGGCTTCATTTCTTGAATGCTTCGGCCTGCTCAACAATTTCCTTCCAACTATTTCTGTCCTGTGTACGAGTTGTCCAGTTATAAATTCCTAAATCCTTTAGATCTTCCCGTATGTCATCTTTCCATCTGATCTAAGGTTGACCTCTCTTTCTTATGGCGCGTGGCTGCCAAACATGTATTCTTTTAACTGTTCATCCAACCTACAGGGATAGCTTTGCCGTTTAGGGGTTTCCAAAATATGTGATACTGCAACACCCTACATACTACATAAATATACTTGAATGCCATCTCTGCTGGTCAGTGAAAAGTTATGTTCTGCACAATACTGTTGCTCCCCATCAGGTTGTATGGTGACAGCAGGAACCAGAATAGCTTTACAACATCTAGACATGTATGGTAGGCTATAAAATGTTCCTGTACAGTCACAAAAAAATCTGTACTATGGTTTGTCAACTGCAGCTATATTATCCCAAAGTGCCTATACTAAATCTTACTATTCAGTAATTTGGTGTAACTGTGATTGAATAAAACTACATTATAAATCATTCTTGAAAGCTTTTATAGCTAGTAGGTAATGACAAAGTTTAAGAAACCACTACACCAATCATCTGTATCTGAAAGATCACCCTACATTTGTGTACTAAACTGAGAAAATTCTTAAACGGAGAAACTTTAACAATGAGATTAGTGACCTGAGATCAATGAAACTGAATGTTAAATGACAGAAAACCTTATATTGAGGAACATGAAATGAGAGTTTCACCATGCACTCATATGTGTAAACATTCCCTGAGGACAAAGATTGTTGCATGAAGCTCAAAGAGACATGGATCCGTTTTAAAATTGGGAACATTTTTTGTAGGCCTATAGTTGTGTCTTTAGTAGCATAATTGAAAGGTTAAATATGTCATTACATCAGAACAACAAAATAGACTGCTTTCTTCATAGTCACCGCCGTGAAAGCCTCAAATCTTACAAAATATACCTGAATCTCTTTGGAAAAGGCATTCACACTACTACCAACCTGCTGGCATAAATTACAAGAATACATATTAACTCACAATTAAGCAAATATTCAGAAACTATATACATAAAAACTCAAGCCAAGAAATACTGAACACACACAAATTAAATATATTGGTCAAACAGAGCAAGAAATCCCAAGTTTCCAAGCATGACTAGATACTTATGACACTAGTCTATCATGAAATTATTATTTCTGTAGATCTAATATTACACAACAATTAGAAACATGTTCTGGAGAAGAAAGGAAGCATGTCGAACTGTGGTTTTGTTGCATTTCTACCTGGCAACAGTTCCACTGTTAACCTTCACTGATCATGAGCTGTACTACTGCATGGGCTCCAGTGTGCAGTTCACTTAGCCAGGTGATGCATTTTTTCAATGCTATGACATGAGGCCTAAAAGCTGGAATAGTGGAGCCTGAGAAGACATCCGTTACTGAGCAACAGCTTGGAAATCATATGTAACTGATTACTCCTCTTTAGTAACATACTTCGCCTAATTTATGCATACCTTCATTTTATGTAACTCTTGTATCTCAACAAAACTTAAATTAAGAGTTTGAGTGAATTGCAGACGTTATCATGCATTATAAATCACCATGAACCATACATTCAATGGGGATGACTCAACATCTTATGACTTCTTATGAAACTCGTAATTCAGTTCCTTTTTTTTGTCTTTATAATGTATGATATAAGCCCAAAGAGTAGACAGCTAGTGGCTTTACAGCGGTACTTCCCACTAACAGCCAATCGGCTTGCTGAAATTCTAGTATGACATCATACTAACGATAAACTGTCGTCATGTAAAGCCCTTTGTCAAGAAGAGACGCCAACTAGTTTCCGAGTGGTGAAGACGTGACTGTACGTGTTCCTTCTTCGCACAAAGGAACAAAGGACCAAAACTGGTCCTAAGCACAGATGGCTGCAGTACATTCCTCCAAAACGATGGTAAACTACCAGGTTACATAGTGTCACATACCAGAAGACAGTCACTGCTATAGCAACCATATCTCTCAAATATTCCCAATGTC